ACCGCTCCTCGCCGGAGAGCGGAAATCCGGGACTTGAGAAACCTCCGTCCTCCCAGGGGGAATTTGGAAACCTCCATCTCAAGCCCTCCCTGATGAAAATCCCAATGCAAGTGCTGATTTTTTGCCTTCTGAGCTTTTTGGGGAGCGGGGAGGGATGAGTAGATACAGAGCTAAGCAAAATTGGAGGGGGAAAAATAACGGATTTTGGCAACAGCATCCCTGCGCTGCTGCTTTTTGAGCAGAGATGGCAACGAGGAGGATGCTTGAAAGCTTTCCAAATTTTTGGTGATGCCAATAACCAGCCCAAGAGATGGGATGAGCACCTGCAGGGCCTGATCCTGCTCTCTTCCCCATGCCTCAGGCAAACCTCTGGACTCGGAAATCCCGCACGTGCTACTGAAAGGAAAGGGCGTGGGATGCCATCAGCACGCCTGACTCCCTTCCCAAAGCCCCCCAGAAAGACCCCAAACTCTACTAGCCCTTACATGGCTGAGGCTAGGAAGAGAAAATCCCACCTGGATTTGAGATTTTTCCCTTGGATAAGCTCCTAATTCAATAAAGCGAATGCCACTTGCAACTCCTCTAATACTTTTATTAAAGATGTAGTGGGTGGGTTGTTATTATTATTGCTTGAGAGGCAGGAGAAGTTTAACTCTTGGCCTGGCCAGCAAAAGTAGGGGGCAGGAAAAAAACCTGGGAAAATCCTCTTTATGTCACCTATTCCCATTTCCCAGCTCTCCGCTCTAATTCTCCAGTTTCCTAGCATTTTACCCTGTTTTTTCACAACCCCTCCAGCCCTTTCTGCAGGGCTTTGCTCTCATGCTGCAACTGGGAATGGGAAAAGTACCGGCTCTGTGGTTGATCCAATCTGGAGAGACGTGGGAGAAGATGGGAAATCTTCCTCCTTTCCCACTCCTCCTCCTCAGCGGGCTGCAGCCGCTGTACAAAGACCCCCCAAACGCCGTGTTTTCTGCATTTCCTTAATTCTGGCGGGGCTTTTTTAACCTCATTAAAAATGATGCTCCTTCCCTGAATCCGTTTCCAGCCAGGGATATTTAGGGGGGATCTTTACCCGACACATTTTCAACCCAAAGCATCTCCCCCCCTCACCTGGCCGACTCCTTCCACTCCATCTCCTCGCCGTCGTGCTGCAGCGTGTCCATCTCCGTGAAGAGCGTGGGGTTGGGAGGCTCATCGTCTTCCCCCAGGATGTAGCGGAGGCGTTCGGCAGCCGGTGACACTGCCGGGAGGGCAAAAAAAGGGGTTTACCATCGGCCGGAGATGAGATGATCCTGCACCATTCCCATACGGAAAGCCCCGCGGGAAGGGGGTGGTGAAGAGGGATCTGTAGGGCCATTTAGGGTCCTGGGGTAAAAAAAAGGAGGTTTTGAGGAAAATGTTTAAGGTGAGAGATTGAGGAGTGCGGCAACTCTAAGTAACCTTGTCCCAAAATCCCTGGGCAAAGAGATAGGGGATGCTGGTGGAAAGGCTGCCTAACAGCAGGAGGGGAATATATAGGTCCGGGCTGGGAATCGGGGAATGCGGCCACCCCTATATACAATATAGTCCAATCCCCCTTCCAGGAGCATTATGTGCCCCGTTTCTGGGGGGTATCCCACATTTTTCCCTACCACAGAGCCCCTTTTTGCCAGGTTAGAGCCGCCTGCCATCAGCAACCAAATCCCCATCCTTACGGTCTCCGGCACTGCGCATCGGGATGCACGAGTGCTCAGCACACGCTTTCCCACTGGATCCGCGAGGGGAACGTGGATCACTCGAGGGGGATAACACAAATTTACCGTTTCTGCAGGAAAAATCCAGCTTCTGGCTGCAAATAACCCACCAGGCTTGGGAGGGCACCTATTGCCTCCCGCTCCCCGTGCTGTGTTTCGGGAAGGGGAGCGGCAACGCGTCACTGACTGATGGGAAAAGGGGTTTTCATCTTCGGTGCATTCCCCGCGGCCACGGGAGGGTGACGGACCTGCCCTCTCCTCTCAAAAATACCAGCCAGGCTGGGTTTTCTCTTAACCCTCTCCCATCTTCATGCGCTTTTCTAGCAAAACCTCATAGTTTTGGTTGCAGGGAGGAATCAAACAGCTGGGTATGACCTGGGCATGGCTCGGATGGGACCGCTCCCCAGTTGCCCCGTTATTCAAACAAGAGGTTAAAATCAGCCCTATGCCAGGCTCCGTGAAAACGGTGTATTTTTAATAAAACCTTGGGTCTTAGCCCTCTCCTAATACAGCAGGAGTTAATCCAGCTCAGAAAACGTCTTTGTTAGCAGAAGCCTCCTGTTCTCAAACCTGGGGATAAGAAAGTCGGGTAATAGGGTACCCAAGAAAGCTGGTAATTAAATTGCCGTGTGCGAGCGGAGGAAAAACTTGAAATATTGCCCTGTCCTCCCGCCAAAGCAGACAAGACCCGAGTGGCGGTGGCGGCGAAAGAATAGGATGTCCCTTGTGCTCTGGGTTGAGCCTGCTTGGCCGCTCACGCCCTTTAAGCCCCACCACCAGGACTAAAGCCCTGTTGTCAAGTCCTCCTTCCACTTCCGTAAGCTTCATTATGATGATTATTAATATTCCTGTTAATTTTAGAGCTGGGCTACATGCCTTGAGGGCTTCAGGCTCTTTAAGCCTAAGTGCTGTTCACGTCAGAGGGGATGAAATCGGTGCGATGCTGGCAACCCCCCTCGGCCTCACGCCGTCTGCTTTGCTCTGAAGCCCAAACCTTAAATTTCCCGCAAACGCCCACATTTGCTGTAAATGCCACGATCCGGACAGCGGCAAAGGGATTCTGCTGGAAATATCCGTCCTGGGCGGGATCTCCAGATGCATTTGTGAAAAAAGGGGGATTTGCAATTTTGCAGGAGGGAGGGTGGAGGGGTCAGAGCTTTGCAAATCCTCGACTCGGCGGTTGCTGCTCCCAACTCTGCCCAAATTTCCCCCCCACCATGTGCTTAAGAACGGGTCCCTCCTGCTTCGACCTGCCGGGGGGTCCCCCCAGCGACGCGTTTCAGGGTCTCAGGGCTGTGACACACTTTAACCCCGGGAAACCGCAAAAGATAAAGGAAATCTTGCACTGAAAGAGCTTTTTGGGGTGTTTTGAGCTTTTTTTCCCCCCTATTCTCCCCCAGTTTAAGGAATAAACCCAGCTCTCAACACGACGTGCACTTCCCGCCGGCGGCCGCCTCCTCTCCCGGCTGCTCGCTGACCCGAACAAAGAGCCGGAGGCTAAACCAACAGCGCCGGGGCTTAGCCAAAATCCACGGGGCTTCTTCACCTGGAGGACCCTTTCGTGCCTGGGAAAGCACCCAGCCCAGCGTCTGGTTACAATCTCTCAGTCATATTTTTTTTCCTCCTGGAAATGTGATCCAGCACCTAAATTAATCCTGGGAAGCAGCAGGTATTCGCTTGGGGGGATATTCTGACTAGCGGCGTCTAGGGTCGGCGCCTCCGGCGAGCGCAGGAGTAAAACCGCTGCAGCGACACTGGCCGAAACCCAGAAAGCCGCCCCAAAATCAGCACCTATTCCTCGCAAGACACAGTTCCACGGGTGCCCCGAGCAGATCTGTACCTCCCTGAACCAGCTTTTACAATGGGAAAACGCTCCCAGCTGCAATTCCTGCTTTATACCCATCAAACCTCCAGCGTGATTTCAGCCACGGTGGACCCGAACCGAGCCCGCAGCTGCAGAACTAGCTCGGCATTAACGCCGGTGATAACACAGGATAATTTTACGTACACGAGAGCCTACATTTCCGCAGGTAATCGGGCAGGATGCACCAGTTGCACTGATTTGAGGAGCCCTTCACGCCCCAACTTTGATCCAGCAGTAAAACCTCACCTAGCGATGCTTTTCCAAACCCAAACCCCTGCTCCGGCTTTAGGTACAATAAAAAAGGTGATAAAATGGGGGACGGGGGAACGTGGTGCTGCCTGGGGCTTGCAGTCCGGCTGGGCAGCGGGACTAAGCCTTATTTAAGGCTCCGGCACATTAACCGTCCGCTGCCGTGGTCCTTCTGAACACGCCACAGCCTCTCCCTGGGGCTTCACGCCTCAGAAGGGTCCCCTCCCTCCAAAAAAAGAGGAGACTGGGGTGCACATCCCATGGGATTCGCTACTCCGTTCCTGTTCAGGAAACCCCCTGGTCTGGGACACTTTTCTCCTTCCAAACATCATCTTTTCTGTTTCCCTGCTGCTGGGAAGCACTGGAAGCTGATGCAGTCACCCCCCGCCCCCCGTTGTATTTTTGGGGTGAGCTCCGGAGCTCAGTGCCCTGAGCGAGCGCTCAACCCAGCCCCACGCAGGCTCCCAAGTTGTTTTTACAAGGAAAAAGTGAAGCCAAAAAAAAATGGAGCCTTTCTTCCCTTCCCGCTCCCCCCACCGTGGACGCCAAAGAGCGATGGAAATAACCTACCTGGGATCGTTTCCATTTTTTCCCCCATTTCTTCTCACCTAAACCAAACTTTCACTGCACGGTACAAAAAAAAAAACAAACCCCCAAACTTCGCCCTTTATCCACTCAGGCTTGTTAAATTCCCAAGGCTTAAGGAGCCGATTACAGAGAATATAAAGCACTTTCCTCTCCCTTCGGCTCTCATGACGGGAAGTTACCAAATCCAGCGGGATGCGTGTAGGAGAGGTGAGCGCTTTGGGCGGCAGCAGGATGGGGTGAGCGAGAAAGGGGAGGGAGGGAGAGGTGGGAGGACAGAAATCAAAGGTTTGGGCTTATTTCATGGAGGGTTTTTGTTTCCCACTTGGAGCGAGGTGGGAAAACCCCCTCCAAGCTCAGGGCAGAGATTTTTTGGGGGGAAAAACCATCCAAATGAGGGAGCTTTCCTGGGGGAAAGCAGAGCTGCTGCAGAGTTGGGGCTTTCTGGGGTGTTCTTCCTCCATAAAATGACTTTGCCCCCCAAAGCAGCCCAGTGTTAAACCCCGCTGGCATCTACCGCCTGTGGAAAGGAGGGGACGCGGTCCCGCTCGCGCCG